TCTACCGAACATGCCCTTATTATTTTTAGAGCATTGTTGGATAAGTTTGATGAGGGTGTGTTTGATATATATTATTGAGAAAATAATGTATTTTAAATAGTGATATGATGGAAAATATGTGGTTAAAAAGTAATGAAAAATTATTGATATGATAAAAATATTATTTTATTAAACAAAGTATGATTGAAAATAAATTTTGAAAGAATGTATTTTGAAAGAATTTATGTCAAACATTGGCTAAAAAACAAATTCATTTGAAAATTTAAAAGTGGGAATTTATTCACGAACCCTCTGCCTGAAGGGTCTGTTAACTGACCCCCCAAACCTTAACAGACGTTCCCGAACCCCAAATGTCTGGGGGTCTGTTTAGTTAGTTAACGAACCCCTCGTCCGCAGACCCCATTATGATTTCATCAAAGATTTCGATTTCTTCAATAATATAAAGAATTTTTTGTTTAAATCTTTGAATATTACAGCAAAAAAAAAAAAATTATCCATCATATTATAAGCAAATAAAATTAATTTAAAATCTAACCAAATAAAATGAAGAAACCTTGAAGATGGAGCTAGAGATGGAGATAGAAATGGATGAAGAAACCTTGAAGAATCGATTTTTGGTATGAGAGAATTTCTTGATTCTTCAAATTTCTAACGTTCAAAATGGAGGTAAAATGGATATTGTGAATTTTTCAAATTTTTTTTTACTTAAATGTGGTCAAAGACTATTGTGAGAAATAGGTCGGGACGACCGGCCATTGATCACCGATTCCTCCTCTTAAGAGTCCTTGTTTGAGCATCTTTCTCAAGAAATGTATTTTTAAAATGAATTTTTAATTAACATTCTTCCAATAAAATAATCATAAATTAAAAATTTTTTTATACTTTTTAATTTCCCATTCTTAAAAAATAACTATTACAAAAAAAAAATTTCTCAATAAATGAGGCTCAAGCATTGCCTTAATAAACTTTTTTGAGTTCATAAAGTTACTTGTGGTTTTTGTGAGTTTTGAATTTAATTTCAATTTTCGGTTTTAAGGGTTTAGTTTAATATTGTAAAAAAAGTGTTTGATTTGTCATTATTAAAACTGTTTTTGAAAATAAGAAACTCAAAAAACATTTGGTTTCAAATTTTTAGAAATTGGTTTATTACATTTTGCTCAATAAATTTGATTATTAAGTAAAATAAGATAATTTTTTGCTAATATAATATTAAGTAATATATATTTTAAAGTTGTGGAATCTTACAATATTTTTTCCGCTACAAAAATAAAATATAAACAAACAAAAAATTTAGTTGGGTAAAAAAAATTAACACGGGTTACCTTTTTCCTAGAGACGATAGGTTATTTGTTTGGTTTGGCTTTCGAATAGAAGAAAATTTTAATTACTTATATTTTCCGTATTTTCAGTATTTTGATTTTCACTGAAAACACTAAAGTGAAAATACTAAAATTATCAAAAATATGTTTTCAATTTTATGTCATAAATTTAATATAGTTTTCAAAAGGGAAATGCTATGTATACACAATGTTTCACACCTCCTTCACATGGAGGTGGCCCGCACACAATAAAATATTTGTGGGGCCCCCTCCATGTGAGGGAGGTGTGAAACATTGTGTACACCTTGTGGTGTACACATAGACTAATTCTTTTCAAAAATACGTTTTAACATCGCTCCTCCCCAAATAGTAAACATGGCGAGGAAGGAAAACGTGATCCCCATTCCGAATTTGATTGTCATATTTGTTCTCTAAATAACTTAAATAACCAACGATACTCTTGAGAGTTGAGACTAATGGATATGTCACAATGGCTGATATGATTAAATCTTGGAAGGAAGAACGAAGAAAGATAACTCAAAAGTATTTTAACAGGACTGCAAAAAGGGTCCATCATTGCATAATTCAATTAGAATAAACAATTTCTTGGGACAATGATGTGAACGGAGGAGCGAAGACATCACTGGACTAAAAAACCTTTTATGCTGAGCTATCATGTAAACTCAATTATTGGAAAGATTCTTATGGTCAAACTTTAGTTTTAACCACACATTTTGTATAATTGATAAGTAATGCTCACTCATCAACTAATTTGAATGAATCACGCTAATTGTATAGATAACATCAATGGACATAGAAATGATGAAATGGTCAAGTGTCAAAAGATTGAACCGATGTCGAACCAATGGTTTTTAAAAATAAAAATATATACATTTACAAATAAAAAAAATACAAGTAAACATTTTTAAAAAATATAAGTTTAAAATGATTGAATCGACGGCTAAATCAGGAACATGTCACAGGGTTTTCCAAAAATCGGACAGTTTAATGAGTTTTGGGACGAATTTTTAATTAGAGGTTTTATAAACCTAATCAAATTGATTTTGGTCTCAACAAAAATAGTCATTCGCAACATTTGTCAATAAATGTTGCC